CACGCTGGGCACGTCAGCCGAGGCGTGGACAAAGTGGAAATTCTTCCCTCCACATTCTGGGAAAGGGAGACATTGACGAGTGAGGGGCGACGGTCCAGTGTTAGGCACTGCCCTCCCAGAGTGTTGCAAAAAATATTGACGAAAACCCGGCATGTGTGGAATTGCTGAAAACAACTTGCAAAATATTTGAGGGGGGGGGGAGGGAGATGTTCCTCTTCCATTAACCCGCAGCACATTGGAAGTTCTGGGGGGCCTAGGAGAAATTCAACAGGTCTGGGTGCTTGGCCAGTTCCCTGTGAGATTGGCAGCAGGGCAAATACTTCCCCACCATGATGCTCGTCACCAGCTGAGCATGTGGGGTGCCGCTTGGCCGTTTGGTTTTAAAAGAGTTAGCCGGCAATGCCGGAGACAGTCAGTGCCATGGATTAGGAAGCTACCCAAAGCTCTTTGGATTCACGATCAAGATGAGCCCTTTGTACTACCTGCGGGGTGTGTGTGTGTGTTGCCTTCTGGGGGAGGAAAAGAAATAAAGCCAAATACATTCCCCCAGTTCTTACCCCCAGCCAGCCGAGGGAAGGTACGATAGTGGTCGAGGTTTTCAGAGACCTGCTTCCAAAGACGCTTAAAAGTCCTTGAAAAAAAAGAAAAAAGATGAAAAAAGACCTAATTATTCACTTTTCTCCCCTCTTCTCCTGGGGCTCTGCCGGTGCCAAAGTCTGCAGGCACCCCTCTTTTCAAACTCACACCCTGCTGGGATCCCACTCGGCCGCCCCCTCCCACTGGGGTTAGGGGGAAGCCCCTCTTGTTCTCTTAGGGCTACCTGGTCTCTCCTTCCCCTCCTTCCTGCCCCCCCACCCCAATGCCACAAGCACTGAAAGCAGAAACTTTTTAAAAACCAGGAGACAAAATTCTTCGTAAGGAGAGGGCCAGCTGTTGAGTATTTCTCACAAACGGTGTCAGCAGAGGCTGTCTTGGGCTGGGGGAGCGAGGAGGCCTCCCCCCTCCCCAATGCTTGCAATCGCTGGCTCTGTGACTATTAAAACCGCTCCGGTGCTATGAGGAGGAGGAGGAGGAGGAGGAGGAAAACCATGCTCGGCTGGCTCCCTGCTTCTTAAGCGGGTGGTGGGGGAGCAGCTCATAAATTAAAAGGCAAGAGTGTGGAACTCCTGGGGTGAAGCTATTAGCATTTTTATTGTTTTGAAAAGCAAGACGCTGGTCACACTTGAAATCAAGGAAGGGAAGAGAAGGGGAGGTGTGTGTGTGTGAGAGAGAGAGAGAGCTAAGAAAGCTGAACTATTTTCTTTCTGGATTGCAATCCCTGGGACCCAACGACGACGGGCTTCTGAAACAGGGGACGGGCATTGAAATCATAATAACAACAATGCATTGACCCAGGAAGCTTTCTCAAAATATTTACTCCTTCTGTTTAAGTCCTACCTCGATTGGACCTTTTTTTTGGGGGGGGGGGGGGAACAGAGAAGATGGAGAAGCGCTGGGGGTTGAAGGCGGAGTGCCTGGACTTCCGCTTACAGGTTTACAGCGGTTGGGAGTGATATGGGTGGAGGGTGGGAGCCCAGGGTCCACGCCACACTGAGAGGGCCCAAGTGGCATTGTTGATGAAGAGGCCAGCCCATCCAGCTTTCTATCCCAGTTGAGGTTAGGAAAGCTAAAAGGGGCAGGAGACTGGCACGTTTTAAAAATGCCCAATATTTGTAAGAAGGGGGCAAGGTTAGGGAGGATGCACAGAGCTTGCTTAAAGAGTTGAATTGAGGATGGGGCCTCGGTAACACAAACAGACCCCAGACTTACGGGACGCTGCCGGTGAAGTTGATGCCAGCCAGGTGCTCCGAGCCAGTCACGGTGTCCCCGAATGTGGTGCCCTCTGCTGGGACAAACTGGATGACATTGGGAGGCAGCCCGGCTTCCAGGAGGATCCGGTAGACGGCGTAACTGGACAGCATGGCCGAGTCACTGGGCTTCCAAAGGACCACGTTGCCCTGGCAGGGGAAAAAAAAAAGAGAAAGAGCCTTCTAGTCCAGGGCTTTTCAACCAGTGGTACGGGTACCACCTGCGGTACATTGGCACCTGGCAGGTGGTACGCGAGCATCCTAGAAAAGGGGTAGCAGGGGAGGAGAACCGGTGGCAGCACCGCACAAGCCTGAGCGAGAGACGGCTGGAGCTGCAGGGCTGTCAGGGCTCAGCGGAAGTGCCAGGATCAGTGCCGCTTTCCAGCTGATCGGCACTTCTTCGGGACTGTCAGGGCTCAGTGGAAGTGCCAGGATCAGCGTCAGGCTCCAGCTGGAGCTCAGCACTGATCCTGGTGCTTCTGCTGAGCCCTGAAGAAGCACCAATCAGCTGGAAAGCAGCACTGATCCTGGTGCTTCTGCTGAGCCCTGAAGAAGCACCAATCAGCTGGAAAGCAGCACTGATCCTGGTGCTTCTGCTGAGCCCAGAAGCGCCAGGATCAGCTGGCATGTTGCAGCCTCTCCAGGGTCTTGTGATTTACATTCAGATGCTTGGCAACTGATTCATATTTATGACGGTCACAGTGTCCCAGGGTCATGTGAAGTGACCAAAACCTGCTGCAACCACCCAGCAGACAGGGGGAATAAAAACCAAACACCCCCCACCCCACCCCCGCTGCCAATCCTCAACAGAAATGCTCACAATTGAAACCTCGGACAGGAGGAAGAGCGCTACCGGGTGGGCAGGCAGGTGTCTTGCTCAGCTGTGGCTTGGGGGGGGGGCTTTTTTCAGTGCCATTGTAACTTCAAACAGTCACTAAGCGAACTGTTGTATATCAAGGACTACCTGTCCTTTATCACTTTTTTCCTTTTTTTTTTTTTTTTGGTCAAGTTTTTGACACCTTGCTAGGCAACTGGTGGTACTCGGATGTTGCCCTATCCTAAAAGTGGTACAATGGGTGAAAAGGTTGAAAAGCCCTGCTCTAGATGCAGCCCAAGGAAGGTTCTAGTCCTCAAGGGTGCAAAAGGAATTTTTGGATCCTCAAAAGCACCTCAGCTGGTGAGGAAGAAGCAGAGAACGCTCTGTGTTTGGGTGCACCCCAGAAACAGGAAAGAGACTTGGGGGGGGCTATTTGCAAAGGCTGCAGACTTGAAGGAACGGAACGGAACGGATGCACCGAACTCACCATCAGCGCTGGGGCTCCTGCTAAGTTTCCTCCGATGGCGGTGAAGTTGAAGGGAGAGATCGCAGCCACAAAGCCCTGCGGAAGAGGCGAGGAAAAGGGAAGGGTGAGCCCCCTCCCCGGGGACGGCTTTAGGAGGAAGGGGGGGGATAAGAGATGCACCTCGCAAGCCCCAAACTCTTGACAGACTGAGGCTAGTCTGAGGGAACGTGATTTTTATTTATTTATTTATTTATTTATTAATTACATTTATATCCCGCCCTTCTCCTTACGGACTCAGGGCGGCTAACAATCAGATAAAAACACACACATTATACACCTATTAAAATTGATTAAAAAGAAATATTTAAACTCGTCAAATTTAAAATAAATAAAACCCCTTTAAAATCCCTTAGGCCAGTCCCGCAAGCTGGAACAACCACGTCTTGAGGGCGCGGCGGAAGGAAGGGAGATCAGGGATCACCCTGATCTCTGGGGGCAGTTAGTTCCAGAGGGTGGGAGCTCCCACAGAGAAGGCCCTCCCCCTTGGGGTCGCCAGCCGGCACTGTCTGGCTGACGGCACCCTGAGGAGACCCACTCTGTGGGAGCGTACAGGTCGGTGGGAGGTAATCTGTGGCAGGAGGCGGTCTCGAAGGTATCCGGGTCCGGTGCCATGGAGCGCTTTAAAGATAATAACCAACACCTTGAAGCGCACCCGGAAGGCCACCGGCAGCCAATGCAGCTCGCGCAAAAGCGGCGTAACGTGGGAGCGACGAGTCCCTCCCAACACCGCCCGCGCGGCCGCATTTTGAACTAGCTGGAGCCTTCGGGTGCTCCTCAAGGGGAGCCCCATGTAGAGAGCATTGCAGTAGTCCAGGCGGGAAGTGACAAGGGCA